CAAACAAAAAAGGAAAAAAGAGAGAGAAAGAGAAAATGACATGCTTCAATCTGCAGCATTCAGATTCCATAGCTCTTTTTCTGGAAGTGGACAGCATTTTCCATCATGAGTCCTTTGGAGTTGTCTCAGATCCTTGCATTGCTAAGAAGAGATAAGTCTGTCAAAGTTAGTCATTGAACATTGTGGCTGTTAGTGTTTACAATGTTCTCTTGGTTCTGTTCACTTCACTCAGCATCCGTTCATTCAAGTCTTTCCAGGTTTTTCTGAAGTCTGCCTGGTCATCATTTCTTACAGCACAACGGTATTTCATTACATTCATATAACCACAGCTTGTTCAGCCATTCCCCAACTGATGGGCAGATAGCATTTTTCTTTATGAATCCTTTGGAATTATCTTGAATTATTGTCTTGATCAGAGTAGCCAAGCTTTTCACCATTGATTATCCTTACAAAATTGCTGTTACTATGCACAATGTTCTCCCACTTCTCACTTTACTTTGCATTAGTTCATATATGTCTTCCTAGGTTTTTCTGATACCATCATGCTAGTCACTTCTTAAAGCACAATAGCATTCCATTAAATCATATACCATAACTGCAACAAGCATTTATCAGGTGTTTACTGCATGCTAGACATTGTGCTAAAGTGCTGGGGGGATAAAAAGAAAGGCAAGAACAGTGTCTGTTCCCTCAAGGAGCTTAAATTCTAATGGGGAGACAATATGTAAATAACTAGGTATGTGTAATATCCATATAGATTAGAAGGAAAATAATCTCAGAAGAATAAGATGGGGAGAGGATAAGGAGGAAAACAGAATGAAGAAAGTCCTCTTGCAGAAGGTGGGGCTTCAGCTGAGTCTTGAAGGGCAGTAGGCAGAGGTGAGGAAGGGGTGTATTTTAGGCTATGTATGAGCTATTACTCATACACAACAAGAGTGCTGATGTTGCTGTATAATAGAGTACATGCAGGGAAGTAAATTTTAACAAGGCAAGAAAGATAGGAAGGGGCCAGATTGTGAGTACTTGAAATGACAAGTAGAGGGTTTCATAGTTGATTCTGGAGATGATACAGAGCCACTGGAGTTTATGGAGTTGAGGGCTTATGTGACATGGTCAGACTTGTGTTTTAGCAAGATCACTCTGGCAGCTGAAGGGAGGGTAGAATGGAGTGGAGAAGGCACTTGAAGCAGCAAGACCAACCAATAGTCTATTGCAATATTCCAAGTATGAAGTGATGAGGGCTGTTATGTGAGTAGAGAGAAGGGGGACTATGCAAGTCATGTTGTGAAGGTAGAATGACAAGACTTGGCAACAGATTGGGTATAGGGGGTAAGTGTAAGTGAAAAACTGAGGATGACACTGAGGTCGCAAGCCTGGGAGAATGGTGCTGTCCTCAATACCATGTGTAAAGCATAGCAACCACTCTGGCACGATGTAGCCCCATCCCCTGGTAGAGGCTGATATCTACTCTACCTCTGGGAACTATATCTGGTAACAATGGGATGACCATGTGGATGGAGGCTTTCAGGACAGGATTTACCTACACGGCCAGACAGTCCTGGATTTGAGGTTTGGGAATATTGCTTGGTGGGTCTTCAAAATTGGGACACATGGAACCTCTCCCTTTGTCCTTTAGACATTTGCATCCCATCATTGCTCTGATGGCCCATTGCTAGACCAATAAGAGTGTTTGGAAAGAAGTGGGGGTATTGTGAAGAGCCAGATCTGAATAAAAACTCAAGAAAGATTTTAGTTGGCATGTCATTGGCTGCTTCAACCTCTGAGAGATAATCTATTCAAAGCTGGGGATATTCTTAGGGAAAACTTGTTTGGGAGCACTAATGACTCCTTAAGGTTTGATTCAAGTCAGCTTCCATTACATCTCCTGCCATAGTTTGGTACTATAAGGGATGTGGTTGTAGCGGGTTAAGGGGCTGGTTGTCAGAACCAGTTTTGGGAAATTTAAGCCTGGGAATAGGCAGCGAGATGGTGAAGTAGATAAAGTGCCAAGCCTCTTCTTGAGTTCAAATTTGGCCTCAGACACTAGCTGTGTGACCCTGGGCAAGTCATTTAATCCTGTTTGCCTCAGCTCCTTATCTGTAAAATGAGCTGGAGAAGGAAACAGTAAACCACTCCAGTATCTTGGCCAAGAATCCCCTCCCCCCAAAAAAGGGGTCACGAAGAGCTGGACGTGACTGAAACAACAAGAAGAACAACGACAAAGGCTGGGAAAATCATCCGTGGCAACAGGAGAAGAATAAAATGGAAAGACCAGTGAAACCTGTAGTGGGGGGAAATACATCTGTCTGTAGATACAGTCCCTCCCAAATATTCATTAAGCAGGGAAATTTGGCTTGCAATTAAAGGTTGGACCAAACATTAGAAATATCCCAGAAGCAAACAAAACTTTTTCTCCAAATGTCTCCTGAGCTCCTGCTGGCTAGTTTCTATGAGGAATATGGCTCTGTGGACTCTTGAGACAAAGCATTACCAATTGTTTCAGGATTAACCTCTTGTCTCCCGTGGTCAATTTGCAGCATTCCTTTGGCTCTAGGAAGACTTCAAATACTCCATACCTGCACAATTGAGTCATAGTTGTGTCAATGGTGCTATCTCTTTAAGAAAATAGCTCTATTTCTTCACAAGTGCCATAGTTTTCCTTGGAATCAGTCCAATGAGAAATGAGGTCTGTGGGGTTGAGAACAAGCTTCCCTGAAGCATTCTGGAGCTTAGCAAACAAGCTAGCAGAGCCAGGCTGAGTTTCTGCAATGCCTGTCTTAGTCATTCAGGTTTATGAGTCCCTGTGCCAGGTGGGGTGGCATCATGCCTAAGAAGAATGGTAGAGTGGAAAGAATGATGGATTTATTATCAGAAGATCTCAATTTGATTGGAAGCTTTGCTGTTTACTTTTTTTTTTTTGAGACCTTGGGCACATTGCTTAACTTCTCTGGGCTTCAGTTTCTTCATGTGTAAAACGATGGGGTCAGACTAGCAAGCCTCTGAAGTTTGTTTCAGCTCTAACTCTATGATGCTATGACTTTTCCTGCTTGAAATCCTTTGGTTCAACTGGAATATACATGAACAAGTGCTGGCTTTCTACAAGGCCTTCACCTTTACTCCATCCATATCCCAGAATACCCACAAAATGGAAAGAAGAGTAAGTTTGAAGTAGACTTCTTTCTGCTGTTTCAGTTGTCTCTGAGAATGAGTCATATCCATGGTGAAGTGGAAAGAGTTCTGAACTCATGGTCTCACTTTCCAGCTCTGAGACTTTACTGTGTGACCATAGACAAATTACTGCACCACTTTGTGCCTTACTTTCCTCATCTGTAAAATGGGGATGATAATCTTGGTGTGACCTTCTTCCCAAGGCTATTGTGAAGATCCAGTGAGAACGTAAATAAGGGACTTTGTGAATCCTGAAATGGGTATATAAATCAAATGTAAACCCCTTGGTTTTTCATTTAAAATTTCATAAACTAGACTCTTCCTACCTTTCTAGTCTTCCTATTTATACCGTACTCCTCTTTACACACTCTTCAATCTAACAACACTAGCCTGTTTTCAGTCACTTGAACATGACTATCTTTTGTCTCTATGCTATCCTGGAATACCCTTACCCTTGCTTCAGTTTCTCTGGCTTTCTTCAAGACCGAATTCAAAGACCCTCTTTGGCAGGAGACCTCTCTTTTCAAATGAAGAAGCAGACTCAGAGATGTTAACCAACTTACCCACTGTAGTTGTCGCTTATCCTCGGGTTTCCTGAGTCCCAGGGCAGAGGTCTTCCCACTTTATTGCAGATGAGAGTCAATCTCAGAATGAAGACAACAGCCCCCAAAGTTCCCTTTGTTTCCACTTTGTATGCTCATTTTCTGGGACTAGGATAGAATATGGGTGGCCAGGCCATGATCACAGATGACATCCCAGTTGTACTATGCCTGTTTATATTTCTGGATTAGACCCCATTTTACAGCCTGTGTGCCTGAATTAGGGATGAGATAGAAGGAATGCTGTTACGTGAGCATATGTTTCTAATGTCTTGACTACATATATATATATATGTATATATATACACACACACACACACACACACACACACACACACACACACATGTATACATGATATTTGTATACATATATACTCTTCACCTTGGTTAATGATTCCACCAATGTTAATGTTTCAGGGCAGTGTGAAATGATAGGATCACGGATCCAGAACTCCTTTCTCAAGTGTGAACACAAAAGCAGTATTTCACAGAGTACTGAATTTCCCCAGGGAATCTTCAGTATTGGTTGAGAGCAACTTTCCCCAATACTGTGTGAAAGGTGGTGCATTTCCAAAACAAGAAGCATGTCAGTCCCAACCCCCTTCACTTGGCCGGAAGGTGGCTTCAGAACCCCAAAGTTATTGCTGTTGAAGAGTTAAGAGAAATTTTCGGATTGTCCTGTTTGGAAAATTATCAGCCAGAATCATTTCTGAGATACTTGTCCACACATCTCCCACCACACCCCTGGTAGCTCTGAACTGGCCAGTCTTCCCAGGAACTACAGAGATCAAAATCTAAGAACTGACCTACCAGCCTGGTGCTCCGAGGTTAGTGGTTTAGAAATGGAAAAGAAAGAAGAGAAAATTGCCCAAATCTCAGATGCCTGTTAGGATCCTAGGATCATAGATTTAAAGTTGGAAGGGACTTTAAAGATTTGTCAGTCATTAAAGTGCCCTGATTTTCTGCAAAGGCTCAATTATAGCGATAGACATTGCTCTTCTTTCTGTCTCTGTTTCTCTCTGTGTCCGTCTGTCTGTCTCTTGTGTCTGTTTGTCTGTCTGTCTCTCTGTTTTGTTTTAAGGGGTGTTGACCTGTATTTAGCTTTACCAAACTGAGTCCTCTTGCAAGTGAAACGATTGGTTAATTGAGGCTGTGACTGACATGGGGAAAAGAGTGCAGAAAGGCGCAGCTCCGAGCTGATTGGCTGAGGGGATAGACTCAGAGGATTCTAACAAGAGCACGGGGCACACTCTCCAGCCTGCAGCCTCCGGGAGTCGGTGCTGTTCACCCCGCGGGCCAGGGAAGGAAGGAGGGAAAGACGGACAGACCGGGCTGTATTTGCTCCGCTCCCTTTCCCTCCCTTCCCTACCCATTGCCCACCACCCACCACTCACCACCCACTCACCCCTAGCAGGAAGAGTGCAAGGTTTCCTGGATTGTGCAGGAGTGTGCATGCAGTAACTGTGCGGGTGGGGGCTAGGGGTGGAGGAGCCTTCTTTTGTCCCCGAGGATTACTGGCAGGAGCCTCCAAACTTTCTGCACTGTGAGACCTCTCTGAGGCCAGAGAGAACAGCCACAAAGTTGATCTGACTCTGGGCCGAGGATGGGTAGGGCGCACTACTCCCAGGGCCTCTGCTGGCCCCCTGTAGGGGTACTAGTAGCCTTTGCTGCTGGGCTCTGGGCTGGTGGCATGGCCAGCGAGTATGACTATGTGAGCTTCCAGTCGGACATCGGCTCCTACCAGAGCGGGCGGTTCTACACCAAGCCCCCTCAGTGTGTGGATATCCCAGTAGACCTGCGACTGTGCCACAATGTTGGTTACAAGAAGATGGTATTGCCCAACCTGCTGGAGCATGAGACGATGGCCGAGGTAAAGCAGCAGGCGAGCAGCTGGGTGCCCCTGCTCAACAAAAATTGTCACATCGGCACCCAGGTCTTCCTCTGCTCCCTCTTTGCTCCCGTCTGTCTGGACCGGCCCATTTATCCATGCCGCTGGCTCTGCGAGGCTGTGCGGGACTCCTGCGAGCCCGTCATGCAGTTCTTTGGCTTCTACTGGCCAGAGATGCTCAAGTGTGACAAGTTCCCAGAGGGAGACGTCTGCATTGCTATGACCCCTCCAAACGCCACGGAGGCCTCCAAGCCTCAAGGTAAGGAGAAAAGTCCTCCTTCCTTCCCGTCCTTAGACGTATTTCATCTTCTGATTCACTTTGGGGTTGGTGGTGGGGAAGGGGCAGGAGGCGATAAAGTTGGATCCCTATAAGAAGGTGGCATCCCTAAGCTCCATTCCCCTATCACTTTCTCCGGGACTGAAGCAGATCCACTTACCAAGAAGTTGCCCTGAAACTTTTTTGAATAACCACAAAAGCTTCTGCCGTCTCCTGAAGCTAGGTGTATGTCGAGTCTCTGCCTCGGCTCCCATATCCACACCTATTCCCTTTCACTGAGTTCTGAAAGCCCCTATGCCCATTTCTAGCTCAGTGTTTCTCTGAGACTGAGTCCTGCTCTTATCCCCACCTTCCACCCCAACAAAGCCGCTGACCTTTAAGTGAAAGGAGAGAAACTTCTTGCGCTATGCTTTGGGAGAGTTGGATGTTTCCGAGAACAGTTTTTTTTTTTTTTGTTAAAGAGAAGAGCTCCCAAATGAAAATGAAAAGTCAGTTGTGTGTGTGTGCGTGTGCCTGTGTGTGTGTGCACGCGCAAGCAAACAAGTTTTGGGAGAATGCTAAGAGCTATTTTGTTTATTTTCATAGGTACAGTGAGGCTTAAACACCATCTTTAGCGTCATTAAGCAAAATAGCCCCAGGATAGCAGTGGGGCTAGCAGTAAAAAAAAAAAAAAGTTTAGAAACTGCAGTGATTCCTCCCCCTCCCCCCTCTGTGAAGGGATCCCTCTCACTCTCATCTTTGGATTCCTCCACTTCCCCTCAGCGAACAGTTACACAAATCCCCGGGTAATTAGAAGGAGGAAAAATGTAATTAACTCATTGTCTATTGTCTCAATGGGGGTGAGCATTAGCTCTGCTAGCTCTGTATTTAAAATCCTCCCAGATGACCCGTCTATTCTCTCAGAAGCTTTTAGCAAGTGTTTCCTCTCAGACTTTAGAGACAATTCATGGTTGGGGGTATGGGTGTGGAGAGGGGAGATAGAGAAATAGAGCGAGACAGAATTTTCTACGTTCACAAAAATGGATTATAACACTTAGCAGACTGGCTAGCCTCAGATGTGTGTGTGTGTGTGTGTGTGTGTGTGTGTGTGTGTGTGTGTGTGTGTGTAGATGATGAGTGGTTAGGCTGGAGGGAGGTAATACCAGGCCACCTTGAAGTGTAGTGACTTTTACCTCCTCATCCCGTGTATATTCATAAAGAAATAGTCCGGGGGAAGGGGTGCACGCTCGGGGGTGTGGGGGTGTGGGGTTGTTACTTCATTTCAAAGATACATAAAGATGAAATACTCCCAGTTAGCTTGACTGTGTGTGTGTTGGGGGTGTTACTTAACTTCAAACACAGTTGATTTAATGGGATGTGGAATGGGGGGGGAGTATTTTGAGAGATGCGTGTCAGTCATTTGAGCCTAGGACTAGGGGTTCTGGGAAGTCCCGGCCACAATGAAATGAGTTGGGGGCAATACGGATTGACACTTCCCCTGTCTGCACAGGGTTAACCTTACGGGAAATTCGGCTGCTTTCGAGAGCCAGCCGAGCAATTACCTTGAGCAAACAAAGCACGTTGTGTTCTGCCCATGTGGAACGGTCCGTCGCCTGCAGCCTGGGCAGGCTTTTCCTTCTTGCCTTCCTTTCTCTGCTGGGGGGACGAGCCCAGCGTCTGCCCTGGCAACTACGCTTGCCGGCCCGCCTGCCGGCCCGGGTGTTACTGCATACAGTCCTCCTCCGATTACCATGTAATTGCAACTTTCGGGGACCGGAAGCGGACACGACCTGGATAGAAGAGTCTGGGCTTTGGAAGGGACAGCCTTGGAGAAAATAGCTATGAGGCTAACGATGGGGACAAGTGGATGGATGGACTGAGAGAATGCTCTGCTTCCCTCACCCCCATCCTTTTCCCCTCCAAGGGAGGGAGGTGGGGATAGAGGGGGAGAGACAGCGAGATAGATAGATAGATAGATAGATAGATAGATAGATAGATAGATATAGATAGATAGATAGATAGATAGAAAGAGAGAGAGAGACAGAGACAGAGAGACAGAGACAGAGAGACAGAGAGACAGAGAGAGACAGAGACAGAGATTCCGTGACTTCCAGGTGTTTTTTTTTCCCCCCAGCTCTTCTTTGGCAAAGTTTGACTTTTAAAACCTAAGGGGTTTCCCCCATTCTCTCCACCCTCACCTCTTTGCTCTTACCTAGGGGGCTCAGGTAGTCATTTCTCCCTGTTTAGCCTAGACTGAACAAAGGAAGAAGAAGCCTGTATATCCTACATCTGGGAAGCCAGAAAGGGCACTTGATGGCCACCCGTCGTTCCTGCTTTCCCTTGGTGGTCTTGACTTTCTCAACCCTCTTTTCAGCTGCTCAAAGATCCTTGGGTCTGACATCCAGAGGGCTGGCATTTCTGATTTTCTGAACGAAGTCAATGCTATAGAATGATAACAGTGCTGAGAGAGGGAGACCAAACAGTTGGCAATTTGGGAATATAAACTGGTAGTTTTGGATAAGAGCAACCATGGGTGCAGCTCTCATAAAATCTGTTTTAAACAGGGTTGATCTTTTGCATGCAGCAGAAACGGCATTAGCCATGGAACTGTTACTATGGTCAGTCATTCAATCAATAACATTTATTAAGTGATTTCTCTGTCCCAGGCACAGGGCTAAGTGCTAGAGATATAGAGAAAGGCAGAAGACAGCTCCTGCTCTCAAGGAGCTCACAGTATGATGGGGAAGCCTAGATGCAAATAACTGTGCAAATAAGCTATATATCGGATAAATTGCAAGTAATACACAGAGGGAAGGGAAGAGAATTAAGAGAGACTGGGAAAGATTTCCTGATGAAGATGTTAGCTGGGACTTGAAGCAAGCCAGGGAAACAAGGAAGCAGAAATGAGAATTCCTGACTTGGAGTCTTAAATATTGTCAGCCCTAAGTTTCACTATCCATCCAGATCTGTTGCTACACCAGATCTCTGTGCTTAGCATGTATGAGCATGTTCAAACACTTAAGGGCACACACATGCACATGAGTGTGCATACACATACATCTATGCATACCCTGGGCATTGGGGGTTAGGTTGATTAGCCTGACCCAGATTTTCCTTCAAATGAGCTTAGAACCACAGAACATTAGAACTAGAAGGGATCTTTGAGATGATGTCATCCAACCTCATTAATTTTTCAGGGGAGAACACTAAGGCTCAGAAAAAAGAATTAAGTGACTTGCCTAACGTCACACAGGTAGTATAACACAGTACTACTCAGATATTCAAAGGAAGGATTTGAACACAGCTCTTCAGACTTCAAATCAGATGTTTTTGCTGTTATTCTAAACTGCCTTTCTTGCAAATGTTAGTTCAAAAGCCACCTTTCCTCAAAGTGGATGCCAGGCCTCTGTGGGCTGTTATTGGACAGGCAATTGCATACTTTACAGAAGAGTGATTTCTCAAGTACTTCAATCCCATCAACAGTTAAAACCTCCAAAGCCACATGCTTTTTTTTTTGAAGTTTTACCAGACTCAAGTTTGAAAAAAAAAACAAACCCCAAAACTCTCATGCCCTTGTTTCATTTTCTTTTGTTTAGAAACTCTAGTACATATGAACTATCTAAGCTGATTTCCTTTTCTTCCACAGATTGCAGTTGCATGAGGGCCACCCTCTTCTCACAGTATTCTTGGGTTCTCTTTCCTTTGTGGTTCCCCAAGGAGGAGAGTGGATGTATGTGTGTGCTCTTTTCTTTCTTTCTTTTTTTTTTTGTGTGCTCTTTTCATCAAAGAAGGGAAACTTGCATGATTCCTTTCTTACTCTTGAGTCTTCCTTGTATGAGAAAATGAATTAATGAATTCTCTAAGATATGCCTCAGCTTTTACAACCCTGTCTTTTCACCAAATGAATGCTGTCAGAATTATCCATTTTAGAATTACTTTCTTTTCCTCTTGTATTTGTAGTTAAGAGGTGATAAACATCACCTGAATTTGGTCTACCTGACTTTTGTGTTGGTGTGTGTTCGTGAGACACACACACACACATAACACACATATACACATATAGATACAGAGAGAGAGAGAGAGAGAGAGAGAGAGAGAGAGAGAGAGAGAGAGAGAGAGAGAGAGAGAGAGAGAGAGAGAGAGAGATCAAGCAAGAGTCCTGGTATGTATGTGTTTTGATTCACTTAAAGAAGTCCTACCCCAGTGCTTGGGTTTTTTTTTTTTTGCGCTAGGCAGTGGGGCTAAGTGACATGCCCAGGGTCACATAGCTAGTAAGTGTCAAGTGTCTGGGGCCAGATTTGAACTCAGGTCTTCCTGATCCCAAGGCCAGTATTCTATCCACTGTGCCACCTAGCTGCCCTTTGGCTTTTCCTTCATGCTTTACTGCTGCTGCTGCTGTTGCTATTCCCAAATCTTTCAGCATTTTCTTGCTTTTAAAACTTTAAAAAACCAAATGATTATTACACACTTTCAAATTGGGAATTGGTTCCACTTTTCATATGGTTGACCTGTTTAATTCCTCCTACTTCTGCAGTCTGTAGGGCCCCCAAGTACCTATCAGGGGAATCTCAGATTAATATTGCATTACACATTCCTTCTTCTCCCCTTGGAATAAAGCTGCTCCAGAACTGCCCATAAGGAAATAGTCATGATGGAGGAAAGCAATTTGGGAACACATAGAGGCCATTGCTTCCATACTTGCAATCATCAGAAGTAGTAAACTGACCTCCCAAGGCAAAACTTAGGAGCAAGGAAACTGCCATTGCCCTGATTTCCAAGAGTCAGTTTTAGGGATGGAGAGCTCTGGACAGAGCAGGGGCACAGAGTCTGTACATAGGGGAAGACAAATGTGGGGGACTAGATTCCATGCCTCAAACATCCTGACTTCTCTGCTGCTGTCTGTCAAGATGCTATTCTTGTAACTTTACACTAAGGAAGGTTTCTAGTTTTTTTTTTTAACCTAAACAGGGAACAAACTTAAAGTATTCCGCCCTTGCAGGACCTCATTGTTACTTGGGAGAAGGCAACCATTTTTTTTTTTTTAGCAGTGAAGGAATATTTTGGCACTGCTTCCTGATTCTGTGCTACCCCCATCTTTCCTCAGTCATCCCTCCCTCCCTTAATATACAGAGATTATGGCTGGAGCATCATATTCTAAGCCTTGTTCATGAGATCCTAGCATCAGCTCTCATCCCTCAAGTCTTGGGTGAAGAACACATAGACTATAGGCTAGCCTGACAGAATGCTGTCCATCTTTAGTTTGCAGGGTGAGTTCTGACTGCTTTGAGACTACTGAACATTTACCAGATTGCTATGCTCATTCTTAGAATGAGTGGACATGCATACCTGCCCCTTGGAGCAATTAAATGTGTGTGTGTGTGCGTGTATGTGTGTGTGTGTGTGTGTGTGTGTGTGTGTGTGTGTGTGTGTGTGTGTAGAATCCTTCTGTAAAGTATACAGTCTTATGGACTTTAACATAAAGTGCCTCCAGACTGTGTTGGAGCACTGCTTGGAACGAGGAAGAGATTACATGCTACCATGCACCGTATTGTCTCCCGATTGCTGACACAGCTTTAATCCTCCCCTGGCTGTGGAGTGTAGGTGCTCTGAGTACAACATTAATGTGTCAGGAGATTTTATTCATCATTTCCCCCATTCCTTCTCCTTCCCTCTCACCCTGGGAAGAAATGGTGTGTGTGTGTGTGTGTGTGTGTGTGTGTGTGTGTGTGTGTGTGTGTGTGTTTGGGTTTGGTTGGGGGGGCAGGAAGCTACATTCTTCTCACTATCTGTGTCCCATGCTGAGGAGCTCCTTTGATCTGTTTGATGAGGGAGGAGAAGCTGTAGGCCACTTTCTTAAGGGGGGATGGGAGGAAGAGAAAGAAGGTTGGGGACATGTTTCTGAGCAGAGGACACCTCCACCTGGACCTGGCACTGGCTCCTTCCTGAGTAGTTTGGGGTCTGTCGTCCTTAAGGTGAGATCTCAACAAATTCATAGGGCTTAGTGCTAGAAGGGACCTTAGCTATTCTCCAGACCAAACAGGATTTGAAACCAGGCCTTATCTGGTGCTCTTTTCACTGCACCAATCTGCCTCTCCCTCCCAGGGCCATGGCTTTTTTCTAGGGCAGGAGCAGGCTTCAGGAACTGCTCACGGGAGCCTGAGTCTACCAAGCCCCACGCTGTTGATATACAGTGTCCCATTTCTAAACACAACTGTTTCTCGGGCAGGAAACTGTCTACCCTCCTTTGCCCTATGACAACTAAACTAGGCATTCATTCATTCATTCATTCAAGACCTATTGGGTTTCTTCTTTTTCTTGAGTAGTGGGGACAGAGATCAGGGAAGACTTCATGGAGAAGGTATCACTTAGTTAGGCCTTGAAGGGAGACTAAGATTTTGAAAAGCAGAGATGAAGAGGGAATGCATTCCGGTCATGAGAGACAACTTGAATGCCTGAGGTGGGAGATGGAAGGAGAGTTAGAGGAGCAGTTCAGTGCTAGCTGCTTGTAGTCCAGTGGTTTCAGGTCAGAGAAGGAGCCATTCTGCACCAGTCCTCAGAAGTTCCTTCTAATGGTCATTGGCCCCTCCTCCTGTACTCCTCACCTTTCAAAGCCTTTTACAGGCATTCACTAATTAAAGTCCACTGAAGCACCTCTCCCCACCAATTTCTGCCTTTCCATTTGGCAGCTTTTTCTGATGACCCCTCCCCACTCTAACTCCCCTTCCTCACTTCCAACAAATTCTGCCCTTTGCAGAGTGATGCTGGGTGAGGGTGGCAGTGTCCTCGGGGTGGAGTTTATGAATAAACTTAGAATGCATTTCAGATTCAGTGTATCTTAAAGAATGAGTTCTTGGCCAAATATATTGGCAAGGTTGTGTTGGAGAAAGGGAAGAGTAAAGGGAAGAAATAGAGGGTCTGCTTTTCACTATTGATTATAGTAGTAAACAATATGCAAGGAAGAAAGGAGAAAAACCCATAAAATAGCATAAAACCCATCTTTAGGTGAGAAAACAATGCCTGAAATAATTGAAAATTCACCAGGAAGTGAGTGGTTTCAACCATTCCCTATATTCCATTCCCTTCTCTTTAGGCAACGTTGGTTTAATTAGAGCCAGAAGCAGTGCATATCTTGGACCTAGCAGGGGTGGGGAACCTATGGCCTCGGGGCCCCATGTGGCCTTCTAGATCCTGAAGTACGGCTCTCTGACTGAATCCAAACTTCACAGAACAAATCCTTTTAATAAAAGGATTTGTTCTGTAAAACTTGGATTCAGTCAAAGGGCCGAACCCAAGGATCTAGAAGGCCACATGTGGCCTCGAGGCCCCAGGTTCCCCACCTCTGCTATTTCTTCTTCACTCTGACCAGCAGAGATCAGGACACACTGAGATAATTCTCCCCTTCACAGGATTACAGTTTTAGAGATGGAAGAAGGGATGTTAGAGGTTACCTTGTACAAACTAATTTTGCAGATGAGGAAATTGAGGGCATGAGTAACATAGAGTCAGGATTTGAATCCTGGTCCTTTGACACAGATTCGGCCTCCCTAGCCTTCCTAGCACGGCCCCAGTGATTGGATCCAACCAGGGGATGCCTTCCTTCTCTGCCCCCTCTTCTCTATTTCCAAGTTGCTCATTATTTTTTCTCTTGTTCTTTTCCTTTTCCCAGGCACAGCTGTATGTCCACCTTGTGATAATGAGATGAAATCAGAAGCCATCATAGAGCATCTTTGTGCCAGTGAATTTGGTAAGCACATCTTTATGGACTCCACAGGTTTGGAAATCTCTTACATGTTCCCAACTGGGGGGCCAGCTTCCCCTGGTGCAGAATGTGCATACAGCTGTTAACAGCTTCCTTACTTCCCTTCTGGGGTGCCTAATTCCTCTAAGGAAAGAGGCAAACCAGGGGAGTTTCCCATCAGAAGATTCTTGTAAGAACATGGAACGTGTACTTTTCTGAAACAAGGAGTCTGTCCCCTCTGGGTTTCTGCAGGGAGCCAAATTGCTGCCTCAAGATCTGCCCCTAGGTGTCAGTGTTACTCCATAAAAGTGTGAGAATGTTTGGTGGGAGGCTACCTCCCCAGGGATGGAGAGTGCATATGTGGATGAAGGGTGCCCATCCCTCTCTGAATCAGGGTAGCCCAGCCCATGGAAGCCCTGCATCATAGTGGGCTAACATTTTCTTTTTTTTCCTCCGCAGCTCTAGCATAAAAGGAACTTAGTCTCAAGAAGAAGGGATGGGGAGGACCCTGCTAAATGTCTGAGTTATGCAGCTTACTTTGTGGGAAGGCTTCCTTGCAGGTTTATCCAAAGGCTAGGAGAGGGGCCCTCCCTTCCAGTGAAGTAATTCTTTATATCTTCTACACCTTCCCATGACTTTCTGGGAAGTTATATCTACTGGGTCAATCCTGCTCTCTGCGGTGTTCATCCCCAAAGCTAATGCAAATCTTCTGCCTGTGTGGGGGTGAATCCTTTTCTGGTGGGTATGGGAGACCAAAGCATTCTCCTCTGTCACCTTGTGTCTCTTGCTCAGACTGCTAGGTTGAGGGGTAGGAGGCTTGTGCTGATTTGATGCGTGGCTCTTCATGTCCCTCTGCCCACAGAGAATAGAAGAGCTCTTCACCCTTTCCATGATGGGCATAGGGATTTGGAGAAGACAAAATGTCATAAAGATATGCTCTTAGAGCACCCAGCGACCTTGGAGATCCAGTGTAATCCTCACATTTTATAGTGGAGGAAACTGAGACCCAGAGAATGGAATTGACTTGTCAGAGGCTTTCCAGTGAGTTTCTTCAGATTCAGGATTCAGGTTTCCTGACTCTTGGTTTTAGTATTCATGTTACTGTGTTGTGCAGCCAAGCTGATTTCTCCACCTCCTCTGGGAGACATTGGATATTGGGGCTTATATTCAGGGCAATGTGCCTTTTTTCCCCTTTTTTTTTGGTGAGGCAATTGGAATTAAGTGACTTGCCCAGGTCACACAGCCAGTAAGTGTCAAGTGTCTGAGGCTGGATTTGAACTCATGTCCTCTTGACTCTAGGGCTGGGGCTTTATCCACTGCACCACCTAGCAGCCCCCAGGGTGATATACTTTTAACTGCCAAGATCCTGCTCCTCTCTATCTCTTTGATTGAAGGAACTACCAAAATGTGATTTTGACATTTCTGATATTGTCATCCTTGGATTCATTCCTCATATGGCCCAGAAGAGTGATTCCCTGAAAAACCCCTTCCTGACCCCCACATATATGCTTTGTGAGAGAGAACTAAGTTCTCTATGATCCACAATGCTTTAGGCCTCTGAGTTTGAATCTCACGGGCTTTTTTTGGTTTGGTTTTATTTTACTGGGTCTTCCTATCTTGTCCTGGCTCTAAGTGAAAGGGGGCAGTCCTGGGCCTGATGTTACTACTGATTGTCCCAGAAGCTTTGACCAGTTCCCTTTCAGACCTGGGTTAGTTTGACCCTCCTTAGGTAACCTAGTGCACCATGTCCCCTTCCTGCAAGTTCACCATACTGATGCCATCCATACTGATGCCTGGGAGCTCTCCATAGTGACTTAGTGTAGACACATGATTTTAGCCCTCATGCAGCTCAGAACTTTTGAGCTCAAGAGATCATGCCAGTTTCAGCTTTCCCCTCTAACAAAAAGTAGAGGTATGTGCCACCATGGATGGACCACTCAGGGCTTTTAACTGGGAACAAACAAGGATAGGGTATACATATCTTCCTCATTCGGGTCCATTCAGATCTCCCCACTATCTGTTTCTACAACTACAAGCTGAGGAAGGGAAATAGCATTATAACTAGGTGTCAGCAGTCACCAAAGCAATGGGATTGAGTGAAATAAGAGGAAAAAAAAAAGCTCAGTCCCTTTTCTAAGGGAGGAATTGTGGCTCCTTGAAAATGACCAGATTTACTTGAACTTTATCCATTTGATTAAATTTCTCTTTCTGTGCTCTTGTTTTTGCTAGAAATGAGCATTTCCCAGAGGTTTCCTTGGACAAAGTCCATTATTTAGTTCTCTTTTCTTGGAGACTTGGCCTTCTTTCCTACAGCTATTTCAAATCCCATCAAATCTCGCAAGATGACTTTGCATGCCATTTTGCACGCGTGAATTAGATATGCAAAGTCCTAGTACCTTTTGCTATGACTTGTGTCAACAGACAAGCTCAGGGTGGAAACTGTTGGGGGCAGTGTGGAGTAGCGGATAGAGTGCTGGACTTGGAGTCAGTAAGACTAAGTAGGGTTCCATCTTGCCCAAGATACTGTAAGCTTTGTGAGCTCGGACAAAGTACTTAACCTCTCTGGGCTTCAGTTTCCTCATCTGTAGTTGACTAATAAGGTCAAGAAGTCAATAAGCAGTTATTAAGAGGTCACTATGTACCAGGCACTGGGCTTTATGTTGATGATACCATGAAAGGCAAAAACCAGTTTCTGCCCTCAAAGAACTCACAGTCTAATGGGGAAGACAATATGTAAGCAACTACATCCATGCAAGATATATGCAAGCTAAGTTGAAGATAATCAGTAGAGAGAAGGCTCTAGATTTGAGGAAGATTGGGAAAAGGCCTCTTGAACTAATATTTGAAGGAAGCCAGAAAATCCAGAAAGTGGAAGTCAGGAGGGACAACATTCCAGGCATGGGGGGAAACCAGTGAAAAGGCCCGGAGCCAAGACATAGAACATCTAGAATAATGAATACCAAGGAGGCTTGGATCATGAAGTGAATGGGAGAAGACTAACGCATAAGAAGACTGGAAAGGTAGAAAGAGGCCAAGTTGTGAAGGGCTTTAAAAGCCAAACACAGGATTTTATATTTGTTCCGGGAGTTCCAATCTATCTCTAAATCCGTGATCTTTTGTTATATTTTTAGGTGCTACAAAAGATTGGCAATTAAATTCAACACATTCATGTAGTGCCTATTGTTTGCAAGACACTGTGTATTAAGTGCAAAGGGACGCAATGAAAAAAATGAAGTGGTCCCTGTCCTCAAGAAGCTTACATTCTACTGGGGATAAGGCATGTACACAAATAAATGAGGTAGAAAGGAAATCATTGGAGGATGAAGAGCTAATAACTTGGGCAGGGGGGGGTGGATGGGAGAGGATCATGATGAAGGTGTCACTGTGTCACTTGTCACAGTGTCACATGAAGGAAGACAAAAAATTTGGAGATAGAGAGGAGGAGGTACTATATCCCAGGCATGGGAATAGGCATGGTTTATGTGGTAAATGCCCAGAGGTGTGTGATGGAAGGTTGGGTTTAAGGAGTAACTAGTAGTTTAGTTTTTCTGCAACATAGTTTGGAAAATAAGGGTGGAAAAGTCGGCAAACCCTGCAGGGTCTCTGATAAAGCAGCCACAGAATATGTCATATAGAAGGAAATGATGAGTCCCCCTAGACCTTATGCAGAATAAATTCTCAATAACACAAATGCACGTGAGGCTTCTTTCCAAAGACGAATTGTTTTTCTTATAAGAAACAAGAATGTTCCATAAAACCTTTCTGCCTAAGAATTCCCAACTGGATGCCTGATACAGCACAGCCGTCAGGATGAAGAATAGCATTCAGCACAGTCTATGTGAAGAGAAAAAAGAAGAGAGAAACTGGGAAATGGCTGGAAGTTTGAAATCTTTAAAAGACCATCTTAGCAGATAATAGTTGATTGCAACTGCTCTTTGCATTGACGACTTTGGCAGTCTTTTGGCAAGAGTATGATGATAATAGATCATTCTCACCTGGGTAAGAGGGCCATCTAAGGCACAAAAAAAGTAGAAAAGTCCAGCTCTTAAGGAACAATTAGGAATTCTCTGTGCAGCGAGCAGCAGGCAATTTGCCACATTAGGAAGAACAGTCATTATAAGCCACATAGAACTACTTATCTCAGTTGTAATAAGCAGCGAAATAAAAGGAATTATTCCAGTGACTCAGACAGTGCTATCTTTGTATTTATTCTATAGGCAACTATAGAATAACTCAGTGTCTACTAACTTCAAATTGGTTCTCTGGTAGAGAAAAAGGTGAAAGAGCTTGAGGAAACTCTCTCTGTTCTTTGGCTATCAAGGGAGACTGAAGTCTTCCATGATAGGGTGGAAGAAATGATTCAGGTGGGAAACAAAGAAAAAAAACCACACACACAGAGGAGGCCAAATGGAATTCAAATATGTGTCAGGAGGTGAGAGGAAAGATACATGTGACACAAAGAAAGAAGGAAAGAAGAAAATCTTTTGAACCTAATGAGTATTACCCATTTTTGGTGATTCATGTGGAAATAATGATATGTATAGGAAGAACCTGGAACGAATCTTTAGGATTTATGAAGCCTTGGATGGAAAATTGAAAGAGCTAGGAGAATGGGTGATTACATTACTACTTTCCTTCAAAGGTAGTGATTTTATAATAGAAAGGAGAATATGAGAAGCAATCAGTTGGCTAGGAGGATGGTATGGGAGAGGGGAATTTGGCTTTCTGAACCTTGGCTTAAGATGTAGGAATCATGGACCTTTTGCCAGGGATGGAGTGTACCTAAGGAGGGCCAAGAAATGTATTTCTACCCCGGGACTTGCTGATCTGCTAAATGGATTTTTTTTTCCTTTGGCAAGGCAATTGGGGTTAAGTGACTTTCCCAGAGTCATACGGTTAGTATTATGTATCTGAGGCTGGAATTGAACTCGGGTCCTCCTGACTCCAGGACCAGTATGCTACCTAGCTGCCCCTTGCTAAATGGATTTTTAAACTGAGCATTGAGA